GTCTTTAAGAAGCGGCTCGATGCCTACCTGGCTGGGGTCACTTGAGCCCAGTTTCCCTCCCGCCCAGGCACGGGGTCAGACTTGAAGATCTACAAGGTCCCTTCCGACCCTACTTCTACGATATGAATGACAACATAATATTCTACAGGGAACTATATCGAATGCTTAATGTTCCACTTTATTGAGAACAGTTTGTATCGCATACAAGTTTAAACTTGTATGGTATAAAATGTTGTTATTATTTAATAAGATTCAGAGCATTTTGTTTGACATACACAGCAGTAATAGTTATGTTTTCATACCATGTGATCCTGCAAGTATCAGCATGCAAACTTTAGGAATGTTTGACTCAGAAGTGTCATTGTGATAAATTTAACCCATTTTCTACTATAAACATTCATTCATTTTTTAAGTATTAATCTCTGCTAGGCAATTTGCCTCATGAATTTGCTTTAAATATATGTATTACATTTGTCTCCTCAATTAATCTTGTTAACATGTGCTTAGGGCCATTTTTATAAAATTATTCTCTTTCATTATGAAGAACTACATCTACAGAAGATTTTAGGCATATGCAATGCATTATGAGAGGGCAGCACCAAGGAACAAGCACCATAAAACAGCAGGCTTGGTGAAGAGCTACCTAAACCAGTTGCCATATTTACCTAAATTTAAGACAGCTGCCCAATGACTAGATTGTAGACATGGAAAATTATCAATGTGTTATAATTTTACACATCTAGAATCTGATATTTTGAGGGTCATTTTAAATTTGTTCCCCCATGGCTGTGGTAGGGAAAATTACCAGCAGTGGGTAGGTAATGGGGTGTTAAGTTATTTGACCCCTGTCCCTTGCCACTGGTTTCCCACACCACTTTGCCTTCTGGCTGGCTGCTCCCTCCCGTGTGCACCATGGCTGCCCCCTACCTGCACAGCCTGTAGCCCCTACCACCTACCTCCCATTATTTGCCCACACTGCTGCCTGCCCCCCAACACTAGCACCCTGTTTTGTTTCTTTACCACTTGCCCCCCCTCCTACCTGCACCCCCTAGCACCTACCCACCCTTTTACCTTCCCCACTGGGCGATTCCCATGCCAACCCCACCCCTGTGCAGCTTACATTCCTGTCACAGTTTCAGCTCTGGCTGGGGCCCATTCTGGCCCAGGGCAGGGATCACAGTGGTCATGCTGCCTCTATCCCCAGCCT